TACAATTTTTTAAAGACAAATATAGGGTTAAAACCCGTAGGCGACATTCTGGCTTTGCCCCTGCACATACAAACCTAAGAAATTCCCGTGAACAAGATCAGGGGTGTAACGTCGAACAGCGGACTCGTTTCGACGATGCACCCTATCAACCAACAGACCACCAAGATTAAGCACAAGAAGTTTCTTTTTTGGGCCAAGGTTCAGTTTTTCTAAGGGAAGGTCTAAGTTTTTTCCAGTGTCCTCATTATCGCTGCTATCACTATCAGAAACAACGCTCTTCAACTTCAAGTTAGGAAGATTTCTTGCCATAGTATAATATTTAATTTGTAGAAAACTTTAGAGGTTAATATTAATTTGACACAAATGAGAAAAAACATGACACTTCTATATATAGTGGTGATTCACCGTTTAATGGTGAAAAATCCTTTCAGATACTGTAATTAATTAAGATATGGATCAGCCTATATCCACTTCCCAAGGTTCATGCATGCATGCTCAAAATTCGAAAGGCAATTAAAAATCTGTTCAGTCACCCTTTTAAAAAAAAACAAGAAAATAGCAGCTGAGTATGATCATCATAATTTGTAGAGACGGAGCCAAAATTTAAACTTTGTTGGTCCTTCTAATCAAAGACGGATCCAGGATTTCAAGCAGATGGGAGCATTATTATAAATAGGCGGATCTAGAATTTTCATTTGACGAGTTTAACTTTAGTCTCTTACCATGAACCCACTATACTTTTGCTATTATAGGTTCAAAATTATTTCTTTATGAAATTTTACTGATTTACACACACGCACACACATATATATACAGACACACACACTCTCCACACCAAAAACAAGACCGGCTGAAGTGGAATTTGAACCGCCATTTTCACTTATAGAGGTGCACTAAATAATTATTAGTATACTATAGGAGTCCTTAAGTATGGCTGCACGCACATATACTTAGGTAATTTTAAAAAAAATATAACATTATTATATATGATTTAAAAAAAATAGTATAGGTTCACGTGAATCCATACCCCTTAACCTACATATGCCCCTGCTTCTAATTAATTTTAAGATAATAATATTATATGTTATAGGATTTGAAGTAAAACTATTAGGTTCGCGGAACTCGTATCTTGCCTTCTAACTCCGCCCCAGATAATTAGCGTACAAAAATCAGTTAATTAACCTTAAAGCTAGAGAGCCAGTGCCAACCATGTACAATGGTGGGGGTTCACGCTGCTCCCTCACCCCTCCTAAGACCATATAGAAACAAACAAACACTAAAAATTACAGTCAGGCACCGTTTCTCTTAAAAGTGTTGCGGTGCACTAGTCAGACAGTGGCGAACTCATGTACAATGGTGTGCCTTCACGTGCCCTACAATAGCCTGTATGGTTAAATTTTTAACATCAGCTTATATTGAGAAGTGTTTTACTTAAAAAATATTTTTGGCGATAAATAATTTATGGCTACTTAATTTAAAATATACTTTTTTTTGTACTCAACTAATTTCTTAGTCCCTCTAGTCGGGTGGGCACTGGCCGGTTTTTCGACCCGATCCCCCTAAAAATCGTATGTGTGAGTCTCCCCGCATGAGGCTCACGCTATTCTAGGTGGCCCAGTCCAGCATTCATTCGCAAAATTTGCAGTGAAATTGAGACTGCACAACCTTGAAGCTAATTCGCGTGTAGGTAGTGCGTCGTACCGTTGACTCTATTTATTCTTGAAATTTTCTTTATTTCATTTTCTATTTTATATAGGCTTGAACATCAACTAGTGTTTGATCAAACTTATAAAAAGTGCTTATAAGTGTATATTTTTATCAAAATTTGGAGAAATTATTTATTTGCTTTCTCAAAAACTACTTCTACTTTTACTCGAAATCATTTTTTTTTTCTAAAAGCTTGGCCAAATATCTTAATTTTGGAAAAGATACTTTTGGCCAAAAAAAATACTTTGGCTTAAAAAAACTTGGCCAAATAAGCTACTAGCTATGTGGAATCAGAATATTAATAATGATAAATCTGCTATGAGAACAAAGCTAAATAAAAAGTGGCAGAGTAATTATAATTTAAAGTTACACTTAGATCGAAACTCCGTTAGAAATCAAGAACGAAAAATAAGATTTTTTTAACTACATGAGTAATATTAGATCAAAATTACCCCTCAGATTCGTATTTTACTATTATGATTATACTGCTACAATATAGAAGAGGGTTAGAAGCAAGTTAAGGTTTAGATATTCCAAACATAGGCGGAGCAGGGATTTGAAGGATATAAGTTCGGATTCTAATTCTTTTAAGTTATTGGGTTCTGAATCAATAATTAGCACATATTTAATGAATTTCATAAGACAAATACAGGGTTTGGACTAAAACTACTGGGTTCGCCCGAACCCGTAACTCATGGGCTAGCTCCGCCCCTGATTCCAAATTGTTGTGCTTTAAGGGTGCGTTTGGTATGTAGGAAAATATTTCCCATGGAAAATGTTATCCATGAAAAATATTTTTCTGAAAAATGAGTGATTTTATCACTTATTTTATCTTGTTTGGTTGATGAATAAAAAACTTTTTTCGAAAAATATTTTCTAATATTTATTTATAAAATAAAAAATATTTTTTAAGAAAATAATTTTTTATACTACTCTTCGTAGCATAAAAAATTCCCTGTAGAAAGCAAATACTCTTCAAAAGTACTGTATGAAAGAAACCAAGAACCACAAAACTTTGTTCTAGAGTTGGAATTGGTGATTGCATATTTTTGGTGCAATTCACCACAAAATTCTGGGAGAATGACACAAATGGAATCATTTGGTATTATTGTTTAAAGGCCAAATACATGTGTAAACCCTTAAACTTGTCCATTTATTTCATTTAGGTACTTAAACTTGGGATAATACCTATTGGACACTTATACTTTGAGCCAATCGGTATCTATTGAGCATAATTTGCTGACTTGGCAAAGCATGCATTCTTCACTCTCTTTGAGCGCGTTTGGTGTCTCAAAAATGGGTGGTCCATCCTCTTTTGCGTTTTTCTCCTTTTCTTTTCCACATAATTCATTGTTGCTCTTTCTCCTCCTCAAGAAGGGTGTTCCAATGCCCTCTGTTTTTTCACAAAATTCATGGTTTCTACGTTTTAGTCCTCTTTACATTGTTGTCTTCTTCATTTTTAAATCCATGTTACATTCAAACTCATCGGTACCTAAACAATTAAAATCCATTTTTTAGAATCATTATTCTTGCAAGATCAAAATCACTAATAAACTACCTCAACTGAAGAACCTCATTTAAGCATAAACAATGGCACAACTTTCATTTATTCTGCCATTAAAATTCAAAGAAATCTAGCAAAACAGAGAACCAAGCAAATCTTGCATAATATTCCTCCTTGCTTAGCCACAAACTCAAAAGAGAGAAGCTTTTTGAGAGAAAACAATATCGTAAGCAACTTTTTTATATCAATTCAATTATTCAATTGCCTTCTTGTTTGATGATCTTCGCCTTCGAACGAAGAAAACGTACTCTAGACGAGCTATAGATGGAAGACTCCGACGAAATCAGCATGTATTCAATATTTTTTGGGGTTCGGTGACCATGGGTCAGACGAAGAAGACAATGGAGGGGAAGAAGTATTTATTTTAGTTTATTATAATTATTGCCATGTGTCATTTTATCATTCGTTTTTGCCAAGTCAACTGTGCGTGAGAATCACTCGCTCATATATTATAGCGGGCTGCCAAAAATGTGCTCAATAGATATAGATTAGCTCAAGTATAAGTGTTCAATAGGTACTATCACAAGTTGAAGTGTCCAGATGAAATAAATGGACAAGTTTAAGGCCTGCACATGTACTTGCCTTGTTTAAATTTTGATCTCAGTACGAAATTTTTTAGGAAAATAGTCTCTAATTAAAATTCTAAAGTATGTTGGTCAGAAATTCTTGGCCAATTCTTATGGCGATTCGGCAAAATTTTGACGGTTGCTATAATTTTATAAGGTATGGTGATTCTCGCAAAAATGTAACGATTGTCATATTTTTGGTGCAATTGACCATAAAATTCTGACCGACCACTAAATTTTTATATTGTGACTAAAAATTTAGTGATGGTCAGAATTTTTAGTTTCAAAATTCTGACAAATATGTTTGAAAATTCTAACTCAAGATTATTCTCCTAAATTTTTTTTAACAAGATTAAAATATAAAAAATAATTTAAAAAAGATCCCTCCAGCATCATTTCCAGGTTAAAAATTACAGAAGTGACTGGAAAAAGACCTGCGTCCCACAAATTATCCAAAAGATGGAAGTTTCTACAAAAATCTACCCTTTTCTTTTTAGCCAAAAGTTTCAAAAATAGCCAGAGTCCTTTCCAGAAATGTCCACATAAGGTTGCCAGCAGAACCTTCTAGCTTTTCCAGCACCTTCCACAACATTTAATCAACACAAAAACTATATATATACAATCAAACCCTCTACAATCCTCAGCCTCACTAAATGAAAAAAAAATTCAGTACTTCATTCACAACCAAAACTAACACAAAAAAACACAGTTCATTCATTAGCAGCAAAATGAAGCCAGTGGTGCAGGAAAACAAGGAGAAAGTTGACACGAAAAACGTCGACAAAATTAAGTATATAG